TATGGATATACTCCGACACGTTGTGTTCCCCATATTAAAGAAGTTGTCATTTACCCGATGAAGGAGTGAGGATATACTCCGACACGTCGTGTTCCTCATAATAAAGAAATTGACATTATTCGCCTGAAGATGGAGTAAGGATATACTCCGACACGATGTGTTCCTCATAATAAAGAAGTTGACATTATTCACCAGAAGAAGGAGTAAGTATATTCTCAGACGCGTGTTCCCCATAATAAAGAAGCTGACATCATTCACCTGATGAAGGAGTAAGGATATACTCTGACACGTTGTGTTCCCCATAATAAAGAAGGTGACATCATTCACCTGATGAAGGAGTAAGGATATCCTCCGACACGTTGTGTTCCCCATAATAAAGAAGGTTACATGATTCACCCGAAGAAGGAGTAAGTATATACTCCGACACGTTGTGTTCCCAATAATAAAGAAGGTGACATCATTCACCTGATAAAGGAGTAAGTATATACTCCGACACGTTGTGTTCACCATAATAAAGAAGTTGACATCATTCACCTGATGAAGGAGTAAGGATATACTTCGACACGTTGTGCTCCCCATAATAAAGAAGGTGACATCATTCACCTGATAAAGGAGTAAGGATATACTCCGACACGTTATGTTCCTCATAATAAAGAAGTTGACATTATTCACCTGAAGAAGGAGTAAGTATATACTCCGACACGTTGTGTTCCCCATAATATAGAAGTTGACATTATTCACCTGAAGAAGGAGTAAGTATATACTCCGACACGTTGTGTTCCCCATAATAAAGAAGGTGACATCATTCACCTGATAAAGGAGTAAGTATATACTCCGACACGTGGTGTTCCCCATAATAAAGAAGTTGACATCATTCACCTGATGAAGGAGTAAGGATATACTCCGACACGTTGTGTTCCCCATAATAAAGAAGGTGACATCATTCACCTGATGAAGGAGTAACTATATACTCCGACACGTTGTGTTCCAAATAATAAAGAAGGTGAAATTATTCACCTGATGAAGGAGTAAGGATATACTCCGACACGTGGTGTTCCCCATAATAAAGAAGTTGAGATCATTCACCTGATAAAGGAGTAACTATATACTCCGACACGTTGTGTTCCAAATAATAAAGAAGGTGACATCATTCACCTGATAAAGGTGTAAGTATATACTCCGACACGTTGTGTTCCCCATAATAAAGAAGGTGACATCATTCACCTGATAAAGGAGTAAGGATATACTCCGACACGTTGTGTTCCCCATAATAAAGAAGTTGACATCATTCACCTGATGAAGGAGTAAGGATATACTCCGACACGTTATGTTCCTCACAATAAAGAAGTTGACATTATTCACCTGATGAAGGAGTAAGGATATACTCCGACACGTTGTGTTCCCCATAATAAAGAAGTTGACATCATTCACCTGATAAGGGAGTAAGTATATACTCCGACACGTTGTGTTCCCCATAATAAAGACGTTGACATTATTCACCTGATGAAGGAGTAAGGATATACTCCGACACGTTGTGTTCCCGATAATAAACAAGTTGACATTATTCACCTGATGAAGGAGTGAGGATATACTCCGACACGTTGTGTTCCCCATAATAAACAAGGTGACATTATTCACCTGATGAAGGAGTAAGGATATACTCCGACACGTTGTGTTCCCCATAATAAAGAAGGTGACATCATTCACCTGATAAAGGAGTAAGTATATACTCCGACACGTTGTGTTCCCCATAATAAAGAAGGTGACATCATTCACCTGATAAGGCAGTAAGTATACACTCCGACACGTTGTGTTCCCCATAATAGAGAAGGTGACATCATTCACCTGATGAAGGAGTAAGTATATTCTCCGACACGTGTTCCCCATAATAAAGAAGTTGACATTATTGACTTGAAGAAGGAGTAAGTATATACTCCGACACGTGTTCCTCATAATAAACAAGTTGATATCATTCACCTGGTAAAAGAGTAAGTATTTACTCCGACACGTTGTGTTCCTCATAATAAAGGAGGTGCCATTATTCACTTGTAGAAGGAGTAAGTATATTCTCCGATGCGTCTTCCCCATAATAAAGATGTTGACATTATTCACCTGATGAAGGAGTAAGGATATACTCTGACACGTTGTGTTCCCCATAATAAAGAAGGTGACATCATTCACCTGAAGAAGGAGTAAGTATATACTCCGACACGTTGTGTTCACCATAATAAAGAAGGTGACATCATTCACCTGATGAAGGAGTAAGTATATACTCCGACACGTGGTGTTCCCCATAATAAAGAAGGTGACATCATTCACCTGATAAAGGAGTAAGTATATACTCCGACACGTTGTGTTCCCCATAATAAAGAAGGTGACATCATTCACCTGATGAAGGAGTAAGGATATACTCCGACACTTTATGCTCCTCATAATAAAGAAGATGACATTATTCACCTGATGAAGGAGTAAGGATATACTCCGACACGTTGTGTTCCCCATAATAAAGATGTTGACGTTATTCACCTGAAGAAGGAGTAAGGATATACTCCGACACGTTGTGTTCCCCATAATAAAGAAGTTGACATCATTCACCTGATAAAGGAGTAAGTATATACTCCGACACGTTGTGTTCCCCATAATAAAGACGTTGACATTATTCACCTGATGAAGGAGTAAGGATATACTGCGACACGTTGTGTTCCCGATAATAAACAAGTTGACATTATTCACCTGATAAAGGAGTGAGGATATACTCCGACACGTTGTGTTCCCCATAATAAACAAGGTGACATTATTCACCTGAAGAAGGAGTAAGGATATACTCCGACACGTTGTGTTCCCGATAATAAAGAAGGTGACATCATTCACCTGATAAAGGAGTAAGTATATACTCCGACACGTTGTGTTCCCCATAATAAAGAAGGTGACATCATTCACCTGATAAGGGAGTAAGTATACACTCCGACACGTTGTGTTCCCCATAATTGAGAAGGTGACATCATTCACCTGATGAAGGAGTAAGGATATACTCCGAAACGTTGTGTTCCCCATAATAAAGAAGTTGACATTATTTAACCTGAAGAAGGAGTAATTATATTCTCCGACACGTGTTCCCCATAATAAAGAAGTTGACATTATTTAACCTGAAGAAGGAGTAATTATATTCTCCGACACGTGTTCCCCATAATAAAGACGTTGACATTATTCACTTGAAGAAGGAGTAAGTATATACTCCGACACGTGTTCCTCATAATAAACAAGTTGACATCATTCACCTGATGAAGGAGTAAGTATATACTCCGACACGTTGTGTTCCCCATAATAAAGACGTTGACATTATTCACCTGATGAAGGAGTATGGATATACTCCGACACGTTGTGTTCCCCATAATAAAGAAGTTGTCATTTACCCGATGAAGGAGTAAGGATATACTCCGACACGTCGTGTTCCTCATAATAAAGACATTGACATTATTCACCTGAAGATGGAGTAAGGATATACTCCGACACGATGTGTTCCTCATAATAAAGAAGTTGACATTATTCACCAGAAGAAGGAGTAAGTATATTCTCAGACGCGTGTTCCCCATAATAAAGAAGCTGACATCATTCACCTGATGAAGGAGTAAGGATATACTCTGACACGTTGTGCTCCCCATAATAAAGAAGGTGACATCATTCACCTGATGAAGGAGTAAGGATATACTCCGACACGTTGTGTTCCCCATAATAAAGAAGGTGACATCATTCACCTGATGAAGGAGTACGTATATACTCCGACACGTTGTGTTCCCCATAATGAAGAAGTTGACATCATTCACCTGATAAAGGAGTAAGTATATACTCTGACACGTTGTGTTCCCCATAATAAAGAAGGTGACATCATTCACCTGATGAAGGAGTAAGTATATAGTCCGACGCGTGGTGTTCCCCATAATAAAGAAGGTGACATCATTCACCTGATGAAGGAGTAAGGATATACTCCGACACGTTGTGTTCCCCATAATAAAGAAGGTGACATCATTCACCTGATAAAGGAGTAAGTATATACTCCGACACGTTGTGTTCCCCATAATAAAGAAGGTGACATCATTCACCTGATGAAGGAGTAAGGATATACTCCGACACTTTATGCTCCTCATAATAAAGAAGTTGACATTATTCACCTGATGAAGGAGTAAGGATATACTCCGACACGTTGTGTTCCCCATAATAAAGATGTTGACGTTATTCACCTGAAGAAGGAGTAAGGATATACTCCGACACGTTGTGTTCCCCATAATAAAGAAGTTGATATCATTCACCTGATAAAGGAGTAAGTATATACTCCGACACGTTGTGTTCCCCATAATAAAGAAGGTGACATCATTCACCTGGTAAAGGAGTAAGTATATACTCCGACACGTTGTGTTCCCCATAATAGAGAAGGTGACATCATTCACCTGATGAAGGAGTAAGTATATACTCCGACACGTTGTGTTCCCCATAATAGAGAAGGTGACATCATTCACCCGATGAAGGAGTAAGGATATACTCCGACACGTTGTGTTCCCCATAATAAAGACGTTGACATCATTGACCTGATGAAGGAGTAAGGATATACTCCGACACGTTGTGTTCCCCATAATAAACAAGTTGACATTATTCACCTGGTGAAGGAGTAAGGATATACTCTGACACGTGGTGTTCCCCATAATAAACAAGTTGACATCATTCACCTGATGAAGGAGTAAGGATTTACTCTAGCACATGGTGTTCCCCATAATAAACAAGTTGACATCATTCACCTGATGAAGGAGTAAGGATATACTCCGACGTTGACCACATTCTCAGCAGAGTCATGGTGCTGACAAACCGGAATCAGGTCAACCCCAGGCCCAAACCAACGATCATGGATTCCGGAATTCCCGTGGAACTCTTCCACATTGCGAATTCCGACTGACACACAAAGTATCCAAACAACATTGATGGATATACACACAACATTCTGGGATTACCGAAGCTAGTAGCTCCAAATCCAACGACAGTGCAGTCCTGTCCTGTCATAGCGTAGTCGGCGGTGGCGAGGCAGGCTGGGGCGGTGTTGGAGATGGCGTTGAAGTCGATGGGGTCGACCTTGAGGATCGCTACATCATTGGCTGCAACGTAATGAAGTTTGTAAATAAGAGCCAGTGTCTATGATTTGTTCAACTATACATGTACTTTCCAAAATATAATGACACTATTGGTAGAAATATTTTGGAAATATATACCTTAATTGGACTACGAATGTTACCTATAGTTAATATTAATAATAATAATGGATATTTTTATTGCGCCATTTTCCACCCACTGATACATGCTCAAGGCGCTACATAACATCATACATACAGTGCATACAGAGGATAAAATAGCAAAATAAGTATACATTGAAATTGATGACAGAAAGCTTGATTTTAGAGATAGGCTTTGGAAAAAAAGGAAGTCTTCAACTTAATTTTGAAAGTTTCCAATGTGGGAGACTGCTTTATGTGGAGAGGGAGAGAATTCCACAGAGTAGGACCAGCGTACTGGAAAGACCTCTTGCCAAAAGAAGAAAGCAGAACTTTGGGAACGGAGAGAAGACATTGGTCTTGAGATCTGAGAGTTCTGGTAGGGGAGTAGACAGTGAGAAATTCAGAGAGATATGAAGGAGCTTGATTATGCAAACATTTATACACAATGCAAAGAAGTTTGAAGTCAATCCGGAACTTGATTGGAAGCCAGTGTAATGATGAGAGTACAGGGGTGATATGGTCTCGTTTAGTGGTAAGGGATATAATGCCCTATAGTGATTCATAAACACATGCCCTGTCATCGTTACGCATGGTGATGATCACTGGATTGTCTGGTTCAGACTCGATTTGTTTACAAATAACATCATACAGCTGTAATACTGCTGAAACAAATATCTGCTCATGATATAGTCACAACTGTACAATCGACTCTGTTTCTGGCAGAGATTTCTTATGAATGTGGCAAGGGTTTTGTCGCTTCTCACGGACATTGATTGTTTCATGTATTGAATGTTGCAGGTTTCATCGACTGTGATTTTTACCTGTGGTTTGAGTGCTGTAGTTCTCATGCATCTCGAAGCTGTTGACGTTAAGCATGGTGGTTGATTCTATTGTTGTGTGGTTGCCCACATTCACCTGGATTTCATCAGCAGTTTGGAACCTACACAAGGAAGTTACGATCTGTGTTAAGGCGGTGCTTCCTTGTGTTACGAACTAATAACAGCTGACAAAATGATCAACTTGGAGGTGTATGCATATTAATCTAATTAAATACGTTTCAATATTAAATGCAATTATCTACAAAATCCAGAGCCCGTCGTTCATCGCTTCAAACAGCAGCTATCAACAAAATAATGATGATACCAGGTGGAGCAATCGGTAGGCGGTTCCTGTCTTACCTGCGTTAGCGGTCACAATCCCACGCAAATACAAGTCAACTGTTCTACTTATTCATGTATTAACTAAGGACATCCACATTCTACTTATCAATTTGTTATGTAAGTACATCCACATTCTACTTATCCACGTGTTAATTCAATACATCCAAAACTACTGATCCGTGAAGACAGTACATCCTCATTCTACTTATCCGTGTGTTAAGACAGTACATCCAGATATTTCCTTATCCGTGTGTTAAGTCAGTAAATCAACATTCTAGAATGTGGATGTACTCACTTAACTCACGGATAAGTAGAAATGTGGATGCACTGACTCAACATACGGATAAGTAGAATGTAGATGTACTGATTTAACATACGGATAGGTAGAATGTGCATGCACTGATTTTAGACATGGTCAAGCAGAATGTGGATGTACTGAATTAACACTGATAAGTAGAATGTGGATGTACTGACTTTACACACGGATAAGTAGAATGTGGATGTACTCACTTAACACATGGATAAGCAGAATGTCCATGTACTGTCTTAACACACGGATAAGTAGAATGTGGAAGCACTCACTTAACACATGGATAGGTAGAATATGGATGAAGTGACTTAACACATGGATAAGTAGAATGTGGATGTATTCACTTAACTCATAGGTTTGTATAATGTGGATGTACCAACTGAACACACGGATAAGTAGAATGCGGATGTATTAAATTAACACACAGATAAGTAGAATGTGGATCTACGGACTTAACACGTGGATCAGTAGAATGTGGATGCACTGACTTAACACTTGGATATGTTGAATGTGGATGTCCTGAATTAACACATGAATAAGTACAATGTGGATGTACTCACTTAACTCACGGATAAGTAGAATGTGGATGTACTGACTTAACACACGTAAAGTAGAATGCTGATGCACGCACTTAAGACATGGATCAGTACAATGTGGTGCACTAACTTAAAACGTGGATAAGTAGAATGTCGATGTACTGACTTAAAACAAGGATAAGTAGAATGTGGATGTACTGACTTAACACATGGATATGTAGAATGTTGATGTACTGACTTAACACACGGTTAAGTAGAATGTGGAAGCACTCACTTGACACATGGATAAGTATAATGTGGATGTACTAACTGAACACACGGGTAAGTAGAATGCGGATTTACTGAATTAACACACGGATAAGTAGAATGTGGATGTACGGACTTACCACGTGGATAAGTAGAATGTGGATGTACTGACCTAACACATGGATCAGTAGAATGTGGATGTACTGACTTAACACGTGGATAAGTAGAATGTGGATGTACTTACTTAGCATATTGATAAGTAGAATGTGGATGATCTGAACTAACACACGAATAAGTAGAATGTGGATGTACTCACTTAACTCTCGGATAAGTATGATGTGGATGTACTCACTTAACACACGGAGAAGTAGAATGTGGATGCACTCACTTAACACATACATCAGTACAATGTGGTGCACTATCTTAAAATATTGATAAGTAGAATGTGGATGCACTGACTTAACACATGGATAAGTACAATGTGGATTTACTGATTTAACACACGGATAAGTAGAATGTGGATGTACTGACTTAACACATGGATATGTAGAATGTGGATGTACTCACTTAACACGTGGATCAATAGAATGTGGATGTACTCACTTAACTCAGCTATAAGTAGAATGTGAATGTACTCACTTAACAAATGGATGAGTGGAATGTGGAAGTACTGACTTAACACACGGATAAGTAGAATGTGGATGCATTGAATTAGCACATCGATATGTAGAATGTGGATGTACTGACTTAACACAAGGACAGGTAGAATGACGGTCTACTGACTTAGCATACAGATAACTAGAATATGGATGTTCTTAATTAACACACGGATAAGTAGAAAATGGACGTACTGAATTAACACATGGATAAGTAGAATGTGGATGTACTCACTTAACGCACGGATAAGTGGAATGTGGATGTACTGACTTAACGCACGGATCAGTAAAATGTTGACGTACTGACTTAACACACGGCTAAGTAGAATGTGAATGTGCTGTCTTAATACATGGATAAGTGGAATTTGGATTTACAGACTTAACACACGGATAAGTAGAATCTGAATGCAGTCCCTTAAGACATGGATAAGTAAAATGTCGATGTACTGATTTAACACATGGATAAGTAGAATGTGGATGTACTGACATAACACTCGGATAAGTAGAATGTGGATGTACTCACTTAACACACATAAGTATAAGTAGAATTGGATGTACTGACTTAACACACGGATAAGTAGAATGTGGATCTTCTCACTTTACAACTTGGATAAGTAGAATGTTGGTGTACTGACTTACACATGGATAAGTAGAATGTAGGTGTTCTGACTTAACACATGGATAAGTAGAATCTGAATGTACTGACTTAACACAAGGATAAGTAAAATGTGGATGCACTGACTTAATACATGGATAAGTAGAATGTGGATGTACTGAATTAACACACGGATAAGTAGAATGTGGATGTACTGACAACACTCGGATAAGTAGAATGTGGATGTACTGACTTAACCATGGATAAGTTAGAATGTGGATGTACTGACTTTAACTCATGGATAAGTAGAATGTTGATGTACTGACTTAACACACGGATAAGTAGAATGTGGATGTTCTCACTTAAAACTTGGATAAGTAGAATGTTGGTGTACTGACTTAACACACGGATAAGTAGAATGTGGGTGTTCTGACTTAAAAACATGGATACGTAGAATGTGGATGTACTGTCTTTAACACATGGATAAGTAGAATGTGGATGTACTGACTTAACACACGGATAAATAGAATGTGGATGTACTGAATTAACACATGGATAAGTAGAATGTGGATGTACTGACTTAACACAATGGATAAGTAGAACGTGGATGTACTGATTAAACACACAGATAAGTAGAATGTGGATGTACTGAATTAACACACGGATAAGTAGAATGTGGATGTACTGAATTAACACGTGATAAGTAGAATGTGGAATGTACTGTCTTAACACACGGATAAGTAGAATGTGGATGTACTGAATTAACACACGGATAAGTAGAATGTGGATGTACTTTGACTTAACACACACGGATAAGTAGAATGTGGATGTACTGAATTAACACACGGATAAGTAGAATGTGGATGTACTGACTTAACACATGGATAAGTAGAATGTGGATGTACTGACTTAACACATGGATAAGTAGAATGTGGATGTACTGACTTAACACATGGATAAGTAGAATGTGGATGTACTGACTTAACACACACGGATAAGTAGAATGTGGATGTACTGATTTAAATGTGGATGTACAACAGATAAGTAGAATGTGGATGTACTGACATAACACACGGATAAGTAGAATGTTGATGTACTGAATTAACACACGGATAAGTAGAATGCGGATGTACTGTCTTAACACACGGATAAGCAAAAATGTGGATGTACTGAATTAACACACGGATAAGTAGAATGTGGATGTACTGAATTACACACATGGATAGAATGAATGTGGATGTACTGACTTAGAATGGATATAATACAGTAGAATGTCGATGTACTGACTTAACACATGGATAAGTAGGAATGTGGGATGTACTGACTTAACACACTTTAGACACGGATAAGTAGAATGTGGATGTACTGATATTAATACACGGATAAGTAGAATGTGGATGTACTGAATTAACACACGGATAAGTAGAATGGATGTACTGACTTAACACATAAATAAGTAGAATGTGGATGTAATGTCTTAACACACGGATAAGTAGAATGTGGATGTACTGAAGCTAACACACGGATAAGTAGAATGTGGGTGTACCTGACTTAACACATGGATAAGTAGAATGTGGATGTACTGACTTAACACACGGATAAGTAGAATGTGGATGTACTTGAAATAACACATGGATAAGTCAAATGTGGATTAGCCTGAATAAAGACATGGATAAGTAGAATGTTGATGTACTGACTTAACACCACGGATAAGTAGAATGTGGATGTACTGACACATGGATACCACACTTCCATTTTAAGTAGAATGTAGATGTTCTGACTTAAGCACATGGATAAAATTAGAATGTGGATGTACTGAATTAATACAGGGATACAAGTAGAATGTGGATGTACCTGACTTAACAATACTATATAAGTAGAATGTGGATGTACTCATGGCTTAACAAACGGATAAGTGAGAATGTGGATGTACTGTCCTAACACACGGATAAGTAGAATGTGGATGCACTGACTTAACACACGGATAAAGTAGAATGTGGATCTACTGTCACTTACAACATGGATAAGTAGGAATGTTTGGTGTACTGACTTAACACATGGATAAGTAGAATGTAGGTGTTCTGACTTAACACACAATGAAAAGTAGGAATGGATGTATGTGGATCTAACACTGAATTAACACATGGATAAGTAATGAATGTGGATGTATAAAATGAATAAACACAATGGATAAGTAAAATGTGGATGTAATCTGGATTAATACATGGATAAGTCCTGAATGTACGGATGTGGAATTTGATTTCAACACACGGATAAGTAGAATGTGGATGCACTGACTTAACATGGGATAAAAATGTCATGAATGGATGTAGGTGGATGACTTAACACGTGGATAAGTAGAATGTGGATGTACTGATCTTAAACACTATAAGCAGAATGTGAATGTAATCTCACTTGATAAGCAAATGTGGCGACTT